CTATTGACTAAACCTATTGATATAAAGAAAAAGCAATAACAATAATTAAAACACTACATGATTTCGCGGACCCACAGGTTATTAGATCATATGATCATAGTAATTTGATAAAAAAAAATGAAGTGTGTGAAAATTTTATTCAGTTTACAAAAACTAAAGTGAAAAATCCTGAGATATCAAAAAAATTATTATTGTTTCTACAAAATTAACTGAACAAAATAAAACTAAACTTTAGAGATGCGATCATATATGGATTACTTTTAAGACAATTAATTAATAGTATAGGAAGTTTTGGAATATGATTTCATCCAAGCCATTTTCTGATTTGTAAAACGTTGACCTTTCATAGTATATTTTCTGTATAAATAGTGTCTTTATCCCAGATAATAAGATAATAAGAATCTTGCCAAAAGATACTTGATATATATATATATTTTGATTACTGACTGATTTTGATTCTTTTTGTTTGATATGTTTTGATTTTTGAACAATAATAATTTTTAAGTTAAAATTTGAAAGCTTTTAAAAATATAATTCTTTATCTTTGAAAGCAAGAAATGTTTGGCTGTAGTTGTCAAGAAAGTATTTAAGTTATCAAGAAAATTTAATTAACAACAAAGTGTATTTTAGTGACAAAGTGTTTGTGTTTAAAAACTTTTAAAAATGTAGTGCTTTTAATTTTTATCTTTTTTACAAAATATATATATATGAAATTACTTTCTCATGAAGTAGGAAGTGTACAAAAAAATTCAGGTTTCTCATGAAGTAGGAAGTGTTGTCTTATTTAATTTTTACTACATGTTTCTCATAAATTTTATTTTCTCACGAAATTTTGATATTATTTTCGTTATGCTCCAGACAATAAAATAAAAAATTAAAGATCATATTATAACAAACCTGACAAATATAATTTTATTTGTGTAGGTTTGAGAGTTATTTTATCTTTAGCTTTTTAACAATTAAATAAAAAAAAACTTCAAAATGATAATGTTAAACACCAACGAAGAATAAAATAAGATTCAAAAAACTATTACCCATAAAAAATTGATGTGATTAATATCAATTTTGATAAATTAGTAAATGTTCCCATGACCAAAAAATCCACGAATTAATTTATACAGTACAGTATCAATTCATAAGTTATATCAATATCGATATTAAAAATATACATTGGGCAAAATTTGAATTTTGACTAGCTTATGAAATTATAATTAATTTTTGCATCATTATATTATGTGATCAAAAGTGATATGACTAATAAAAACATTTTTTTATTTATAAATACTAAAATTCAAAAAATTTGTACAAATTTGTTTCCAAATTTTTATACGCCCTGACATTGGGATATTTCAAATATTAAAATTAGTAAAATTTGATATAGTACAGATTATAGATGCTGGTGAAACTAAATAACGCTGGTGAAACTGGTGAATATCTAAAATCTGATTGGCTGTTATATTAAATTTCACCAGTTTCACCAGTTACACCATCATTCACCAAAAGTTTCACCAGCATCTATAGTACAGATTAATAAAATCATATTTTGCGCGAGTCATAATTGTGATTATAAAGATTATAACGATTGTAGTTCACAATTCTAATTACTTTTTTTTTTTGCTTATTTTAGCAAACATAAAATTAATGGTTACATATAATTTAATTTAATAATTGAATTGTTTGAGTCTAATAAATTTGATCAAATAATTATTAAAAGTAAATTTACACCTATGAAAAAGCAATGGAAAGAAAAACCAATTATGCTTTCTCTTAATAAAAGTATTTTAAAATCAAGTAATTGAATATTTAAAATATTAAATCATCTTATTAAATGACATGATTTATTAAAAGCATAATTTCTTTTCTGTCACTCATATGAAGTTTTAGCTCTTTAAATTGAATTTTAAATTAAATAATTAATTTAATTCATTTCAAGTATTTTAATATTTAATTGAGCAATCAAATTTTATATTTCATTGTTTTGATGTCAAATATATTTATCGACTGAGACATCATTGTTCACTACTAAGATAATTTCAATGCAATTTATTTGTAATATAAATTATGTAATACTAATCCTACAGTGAAATTTAGATTACAATATATAATAAACAAAAACTAGTTAATTGAAAATTCAATTTAATAAAGAATTTTAGTTGAAATTTATTTAATTGCTATTATAAATCTTAAAAAAAATAAAAATGACGAATAAAATTTAATCGTGTTTCAAAATTCTAAAAATTCGTCTAATAAATCAATTAGAAAATTTAAGAAAAGTGGCTCATTTATTAAAAATCAATATAGAAACACCTTTATTTCAAAATGATGGAATAGAAGAAATGGTTTAATAATGTTATCAAAAGAAAGTGCAGTCCAGGAAGTAAAATATTTTATTAAAACTAGAGTAAAGCAATTTCAAAAGAATCGCTTCAAATAAAAATAATAAAAAAACAAACATCGAATGAACAATATACTTCAATTAGATGATGAACTAAAAATAATCAAGAAATAATCTATGAAATAGATAATGAAAAACTAAACATCAATTTATGTGTTATGCAAGAAGAATACTTTAATGAACAACATCAAATAGTTGAACTTTATTTTCTTCTTGTTGCCAAATACAATTCATCGATTATCAATTATAAGAAGTTTCTTTTGTCTATCTTTAGTTATAAGCACAGTACAATATGAAAAATAATTGTCTTTTTTGAATAATATTTTTTTAATGTAACAGATAACATTTAAATTTTTAATTTTTATCACTAAATTCAATACATATAATAGCTAAAATTATTCAATTATTCAAAATTCTATATTTTCTACTTTTAAGTTCATTAAATCTAATTAACATCTTTCTCAATAACAAAAATAAATACTATAATTAATTCAAAATTTTTCAATTAAGTTATTAGTATAGTAAGAAGCTGGATATTTTGTATAAAATTGTTGATAATTTAAGTGAACACCAATAACTTGAACTATGTCAGTTGAGGTATTTTCAAATATATTGATATCCATATAAGCGTGCGCATATTGGGACCTCATAGCAAAAGGGGATGGGCCAAAAAAATTTAATATCTTGAAGAATTAGATTGTTTGGAATAAAATTATAAAACATCTAATTTTTTGGCCCATCCCCTTTTGCTGTGGGTCATGCCAAGGTCTTTATTCTGAATTTAGGCCAAAATTCAAAATAACACCTGCGCATTTTATTGCATAAACATATTAAATTCAATAAATTATTTATTATAGAAGAAAAAAATTCAAGACGAATTTCAAAAGAAAGTAGCCAATTTTAAACATAAAAATAATTTAAATGATTTAGATATTTATTTAGAGATTAAAAAAACTAATCCCAAATTCGAAATTGAAGCCAAATATCATATTGCATTGTATTATAAAAAGCAAAAAAAATACAAAGAAGCACTAGACATTGCCAAAGAAATTCCTGATAACTACAGAAATATAAAAATTATTATGGCTTATTGCAATAAGGAAATTGGTTATGACGAATTTGCTTTTAAACTCTATGAAGAAATTACAAATAAACAAATAGAAGATTTAAAGAAAGAAGAAAAGTTTAATAAAGTAGAACAAGATCTTAGAGTGACAAAAGATAGGTTTAAAAATGATCTTGAAATTTGGAAATATATTAAAAATGAACATGAAGGCTTATCTGAGATTGCGGATAAAAAAATCAATAAATACAATCATAGTCGTAGAAAGGCTAGGCAACAAATTAATGATTTTAGCAAATATTATGTGTTTTAAATTATTGACTTAGAAAGCGCATTATTCATTTTTAATTTAAATTTTATATCATGTATCATTGAGGTTTCCGATATACTAAATAATACCATATCAATGACCAACAAGGCAGCTAAACATTGCAGTATTGTTTAATACAATATGAAAATTGTTAGATTTGTTACCTGCTAGCAAAATACAAATAAGGGATCATTTTTTATAATTAATCGTACATTAATTGTATGCTTATAATTCATCAGTGTTGTCAAACAGTTTGTTTGTTAGTAATTGCCACATTCTTTTATTATGTTATTTATCACTTCACATAATAAATAATATAATAAAAGGATGCGACAATTACCAATGAAAAATCTGTTTGACAACATGGTAGTATTATAGTTTTGATAATCGATGAGTTATCCAAGTAAAATCAATATACGTCAATAAATAAATGTATTATTATATTTGCAAAGTATAAGTTATGAGTTGAATTTTTCTCATCTCAAAAGTTTTCTAAAAATGATTTCTCAAGAACATCAAAATCTTCAGCAAAGCCAGAACTCTCAACTAAATCAAAACCCTCGACCAAATTAAAAACATATTGAAGTTTTCATCTTCAAAAAAATGAGTTCCCGAACACGTCAAAAGCTAAAATATGCCGGAAAATCATTTGACTTCGGTCAAGAAATTCATATGTATGTTCATACTACTCTGGGCACCTACTATGCGCTAAGATCAATTGATATTAGCCAAGCGGTATATTCTGTGGAGTATTTAACTTTCCCATTGATCTCTAATAAAACTGAAGATTTATTAAAATTAAAAGAATGGGTCTTTAAAAGCGCCCAAGAGCTGGGAATCGACATCGAAGGGGTCATCCGAAGTGAAATTGATTTCAAATTTATAGAAAATATGAAATAAGTAAAAACATGTATCAGTGGTAACGGTAAGAATAGTTAATACCAATACCAAAAACAGCTATTTAAACCTATTTTGGAGCACTAATTAAAAATGTCAAGAAGGCAATTTTACTCATAAGACTTGTCATGGCATAGTTTTAGACCAGAGATATATACTCTGGTACCTTACTTATAATAACATATAAATTTTTTAAATTATTACACCAATCTACTTCTGAAATTTGTCCAGTCCAAAAAAGTCAAAGGGCGAAGAAGATTGTACCAATTTTGCTTTACAATTCTTATTCAAAGGAGATTTTTCCAACTGAGCGTGGCACATATACATAGGTTAATGTAAATGGTTTTTGCAATAATCTTATGTATAAACCTCAAAATAGGTAGAAAATGTGAATTAAAAGATCTGCAAATGATTCCTGCCCAAATTAAACCCTAACTGCCAAAATCTATAAATTTAGCATAACTTACATATGTAAAACTTTAAATAATTCTTACCAGGAATTTTTTCTAATGACTCGTGTTATAATTAATATTGTGTAATTATATTTTTAATCTCACATGGTACTTTACGTTTTGATTGATGACACCTCAAATACATTAACAAAAAGCTAATCTGAAAAAAAACCTATATAAAATAATTTTCGTTATTTTTTTCTCTCAAATTCGTGTTTTAA